GCGAGCCGATATACGCGGCATTGGGACTTTTTATGAGCGCGACGCAATCGACGTCGCGATACGCCGATGCGATCGAGTTGCGAAAGCATCGGCCGATTCGATACGCGATGAAATCAGAAGCGAGAACGATTACGTCTATTTTCGCGTAACACGCGCGGGCTTTCCTCTACGTAGACGCAAAAATATTGCGCCAGATGCACGCATGCGCGCCGCAAGATTCCAAGTGCACTGACCTCTTGGCCGCCATGCGAAAGGCGACTTGTGTGTAGGAAAGTGATAGTTGCGAATATACGTGCGGCGTTCGATTGTAATATGAGTACGCGCGCGAGCGCGTCGCTTTATTGCTTCCCTTTAAGCCGCGATATCGACTTCCGCCAGTTCGATATTAACCCAACTATCTTGTACGCAACGCTTCTATCGAGTCATCGAACATATTACGTTCTTAATCCTTCCTGTTACTCTAAATTCTCAATACAGAAATATATATGTATGTATGTACATTTAAGTGTGTACTAAAAAGAAATTTCGGATTATACGTGAGTCGATTTTATTCGCGATAAGCGCGAAAAATATCCCAAAAATCACGTAATTTGGACTTTCCTCGCGGAAACAACAACTCTGTTAGCGTAACTGAATTTTTTCTGATAAGAATAAGGACCAAGTGAATAATTCGGTTGCAGAAAGGCAAAGATTTCTTTAGAAGATTGTGTCATCCAGTTAATTGTCCTAAATTATATCGCAACTAAGTTTTAATACAGCTAAATGTGCAGACCAATGTTTCCCCTCGCGTTAACAGAGATATCATGTCGCGAATTCTCACTTGATTCCTATTCACTTAAACTGAGATTTTTCCCCATGCGCTGACACACATACAAACACAATGTCTCACTAGACATTTAATGAAATGTCAGCTTAGACTATGGCCGGTATTCATAATCCGATCTTATATTTACGATCATCTTAAGTATTGTCTTAAGATGTCATGAGCCGTATTCACATCTGAAGATATTACTTAAGACGGTCTTGAAATAAAATTCGACTATGAATACCGGCCTATCTGTTCGGAAGAAATTAAGATCCCAAATTTCATATTTTCCCTTCAACCGATACGCATAAGCCGAATTAGTGCGATCACGTTCATCGTACGATACACGTGCCACCAGCCGCGGTGGTGGACGAATAAGGAAGAGAAAGAATACACAAAAATCAGCTGGTAGTTCCGGAGCTGCCGTGAGGTGGCAGCACATCCCAAGCACCGGATCCCGACGTGAGGGAGAGAAAAGGCGCTGTGAGCACCGCCGGCTCGAGAGACATGCTCGAGGAACACACGCGGCTTAATTCGGAAATGACAAAATTTACACTCCCTCACCCGTCGGGATGACAAGCGCTCGAGAACCGCCTGATAAAACGGCGTACCTCGCGAGACAAACAGATGGTACTCACATGCTGTCCTCCGCGCCGCACCGACGATGTCATGACACAGCCGCGCCGTGTATCCCAACCGTCCGCCAACCGTCCGAGCGCAGGACGCAGACTCCGTCCGCGACTTCAGATGCCGTCCGCGTCGTCACCGGCGGCGCACACACTCACGCACTCACACGGCACTACGGCGTCGCGACGCGTACGTCGGTGCGTCGTCACGCCGCTTCCCCGTCGCGGAAACGCGCGCGTAAACGGGCTTGTTAATCGCGGGACAACGTACGGCATGGCGACCGCGGGACTGACTCCGGCGTGCGGCGCTTTAAACGCTACGTCACATCGCTGAATCGCGCGCTCATTGGCTGGCGCGGCGCTGGCCGGCCAATCAGCCGACGGCCGGCGGAGTCGCGCGGGAAGGCAAAGCGTTTCTCGGCTGTACTACTACGCGCGTCAAAAAGTAGATCTGACAGCCGCGATTGAAGCGAATAGCGCGCGGAAAAACGTGAACAACACGAAAATTGACCGATCGATTATTCTTGGACTGTGAGAAGAATCATTGACTGTAGCTGATCAATTTGCTTACTTCAAGTTTTATCGTTTTTCTGTGTACTACTAACCTGAGGATCCATGGTGGATCCGATGATCGACATTCGTGATTCTGGATACGAACAAAGGGAAGGTGACTTCTGTGGACGATATCTTCGGATACCGTAATCGCTGTCCCTCCGACTACGATGCTCGAATTTTCGCGACAGCCATATTTCACTTAACGGAAATAAAAGTAAATCGTCCGAGTTTACTTGCTGCGAGTGCTGCGCACTACGAGGCGAATTTAATAAGTTTTATTTTCTGATCGTGAGACCCGTAAACTCTCTATCGTACCGCTCGTGATTCTTTACAAAAGGAGAATCGGGAGATAACTAGTAAAGTTCTTGTCCCGCGTACGCGAGATATATGATCTCGAGACATATTACCAACTTAACATGAAAACATTTGTAAATTTGTTCTTTTCGACCGCATTATATTACACTTCCTGCATCTAAAGTGACGTAGTGTAATTATATATTGCTAGAGAGAAGCCTGAGAGCGGCCACCAGTCTGATTTTAGTGGCCAGAGCTAGGCGCATTTTCGAGACGCCATCTAACAAAGTGCGCCTTTACTACGTTCGTTAGGCGCATTTTCACGGTGGTAACAATAAAATGCGCTTGGTTCGTGCCCGTTATATTCCGTACAATGATAGTAAGTTAAAAAAGGACAGACATCCAATCGCTCTATTCTTGTCTCATCACTGATGAGCGGACGCACGATGTAGGCACGAAGCGAACTAACAGCGATATTATCGGAAAACTAGATCATCTGTCATCAGTCTTGTCTTTCTCGCGCTGCGTTCTGCGTAATTTTACAAGAAAAAGATTTGGAAACTGGACAATATAAAACAATAAATAAATATACAAGCTTAAACATGCCGCTCATATTTTTTGCTTATTTCAACCACAATAGATATCGATGTGATTAAAAGAAAACAAAGTTCTTTACAATTTATCCTGTTAAAATTCAGAGTTTGCAATAATATTAATAATACTAATACTATAATAATACTATTAATAACGGTTCGTTAAATAAGCCGATAGGTTTTATTGAATGACATCTTCCAGGTGTCTCGATCAATGTGCCAACGCGCAGAGTTTGCGCCACAGAGATTGCGCTACAGAAAATGCGCAATTACATCATCCGCCTCGATAAATCTTCCGCCGGTCGTTAATTTTCTCAATTTCCTCTTTCACGTGAATTTGCGATTGCATTTCGTAAAGTTGAGTTCGTGCTTTGTTATTAAGTAAAATTCGATATCGTGTGACACGTGCGCGAAGCGATCTAACGTGATTATAAACTGCTCGCAAAATTAATTTCGCGATCGTCGGAAATTTTCTAGGTTTTAATTTTTCACTTACAAGGAGATGTCACAACCTGCTAAATCAATTTCTGAACGAGTGATAGCACGTTCACTAGCTGCAATGTTGAGTATCACATTATCATATTTACGTAGATTATATGCACGTAGATGTAAATCGCATTGGGCCGATGAGAAAGTAAGAATTGGAATTTACAATTCGTCGGAGTTACGTAAGAATGATCCAACCAAAGAATTTAGCTCTGTGATTTTCGCAATAGTTCAAAGAGTCAAACATTTCTATTTCTTTAACACATCGATATCTTTTGTGGCTGCTGAAAAATAGGCAAAAAATGTAAGCGGCATGTTTAAACTTGTATATTTATATATTATTTTATATTGTCCAGTTTCCAAATCCTTTTTTTTACAAAATTACGCAGAACGTAGCGTGAGAAAGACGAAACTAATGAGAGATGATCTAGCTTTGCGATAAGTTCGCCGCTAGCTCGCTACGTCGCGCGGTCCGCTCATCAGTGGTGAGATAAGAACAGAGTGATTGGACGTCTGTCCTTTTTTAACTTACTATCATTGTACGGAAGTACAACGGGCACGAACAAGATGCATTTTATCGTTACCATCGTGAAAATGCTTTTAACGAATGTAGTAAAGACGTACTTTGTTAGATGGCGTCTCGAAAATGCGCCTAGCTCTGGCCACTAAAATCAAGCTAGTGGCCGCTTTTAGACCTCTCTGATATTGCAAACTTGATGGAAAAGTGAGAGAAAGAAGAAAATTACAAAGAAATACAGGAAATGTAGATAAAAACCGATTTCATATGTCTATTATTATTAATTAATAGTTGCACAATATCTTTTAAAAAGTATAGCTACTTGCAAAGGTGAAAATCATCAATTTCAAGGATAAGGAAAGCGTATCTAGGAAACAATTATTTCAAAGACAAAATATCTTATTTTTATATAAAATTATTTTAATAAGTAGTACAAAAAAATATCGTCCATACAAAATGAAAAAAAAATTTATTCGACACATGTTTGATAAGTGGTGCGCTGATATTCATCCCATATTGTTATACCGCATTATATGCAATAGAAATAAATTTTTTTATCATTTTTATAAAAATAGGCACTTTTTGCACTTTGGTAATTTGTCGATTTTTTCGACGCGCTTGACTCTATTATGAACTGACATTAATTTTTTTATCAAACGATCGAGACAGATGGACTTATTTAGAATAAATTCCAAACGGAATAATTCAGTTATTTAGTTGTTTAGTTATTGCTTAGATTTTTATTATATTAAAAAAAACAGAATTAGTTTTTTTCTGATCAAAGTCTATTCCGAACAAGTTTATAATAGCACCTTAGATCAATTTGTTTATTTTTTAAATATGACAAGTCAACAATAAATTAGGCAACCGCTTTCTTGATTTCCAACTAATAAGACTTTTGTTTTTAAATAAATAATAAATCTAGTGGTATTTTGTTTTCAAGTAGTATCATTCAACAATGGATTAGACAAATTTTTATTCCACAATAGCACAACTAAATAGTTAATGAGACATTTTTTTTAATCGACTGTTTGAATATCAATTCCTATTTTCGATGTCGCTTATTCTTACTGTTCGACGCCCGCGAGTATCGAGATGCGAGTTAGTAGCAGCGCGTGCTGTCAAGATAGCAGCACAGGCGTATACGCGTGCGTCGATTTGCGTTTCGCTACGATGTAAGCAATTAGAGCGGCTTATGCGCGTCGTGAGTGCATCTTGGCCGGATTTTCTTTACAATATCGACAAATGAGACGTGTTGAGCGACGCGAAATCAACGAGTGCTTGCCAAGAGCGCGACTGAGCGATGAATTATCTGAACAATATAACGGGCGGCACAACGACCGCCGATCCGGGCTTCCAGCTGAATAATGTCGAGATTCTTTACACGAAGATACAGAGGATTTACATCAAGCCGCAGCATAAGGAGGAACGCCAGCGGGATCTTCGAATCAACGTGGAGATTCACGCTGGCATTAGTCCGGTTTGCCGCAAGGTAATCCTCAGAGAACCTTTCTCTGCGATTTCTACAGCTTTGACGTATGGACCTCTCCCCGCTTGATTACTTTCTTTCAATTCTTTTTGCTTGGTATTTGCAGAGTCTATGTGTCTTGCTAGCTGACGACGATGACCCTTGTTTCCTCTACTCTCTGTTCATCACTGAAGATGACTTTAAAGTGCTGAAAGCACAGCAGGGCCTGTTGGTTGATTTCGATAATTTTGCCACACAGTTGATATGCTTACTGGAGCAATGTCAAATCCCAGGTACAAGTCTATCAAAGACTCCACCCAAGTTCCTTCTGCTGTTGGCAGAGGAGTCTGGAGATTGGAACTTCAAGCTTGTGGAGACAAATAATTTCAAACATCTCTGCCACTTGAGTTTGAATATGTCACCTGCTAGTGATTGCGACTTAAAAACACACATGGCGATGAAGATCAAGCAACTAAAGGAGAACGCTTTACAACAAAATAGGGATGTAGTTGGTTTAGAAACTAGATTAAATGATTTGACCTGTAAGTGGGAGGCAAAAACAAAAGAATTAGAGCAGTTGGAGCAAAAATATCTGACTGAGAAAAGCCAGATACAAATCAATTCGTCACAGCAAATAAGTATTGAAAAAGATAGGTATGTATTAAGTATGAGTTAAATAATTTAACAAAATTAAAGAATGATTTTAGTAATTTAGAGAGAGAATCAGAGTTAATATAATAGTAAATAAATAAAAGTATGATAAAAATATGTTCTTCACATAGCTTAAAAGTATATTAACATTTTGCAGATTGGCTCAAGCGCTATTAGAATGGCAACGACAGAGTGAGAAGGAGAAAATTGAGGTTGAACAGAGGCATTCCGAAACTATGAAACAGTTACACACAGAACTTGCCGAGTTACGAACACAGAACATGACGTACAAAGACAAGCAGTCCTTTCTAGAAGTTACCAATACAGAGCAAATGAAACAACTGCAGAATCTTGAAAAGGAACTCAACATCACTCAGCGTGATTTAACTTTACTTAAAAACCAAAATTCAAAATTGGATATGGATTATCATGATAAGGACAAAGCTGTCAACACCTTGCGTACAAAAGTAGCTGTGCTTGAGCAAGAGTTGAAGGACAAAATGGTGATCATTAACAAGCATATAGAGATGCTGAAATCGGTGAAAGAACAGAAGCAGCATTTAGAGGATCTCTTATCCGAGAAGGACGGCCAGTTGCAACGCAAACAGAATTCCTTAAAGAGTTTGAGCGACGAATTGGTGAAAGCCAATGAAATCCTAACGAAATTGCAGAACGAGCTCGCGTCAACCAAGTCCAAACTAAAGCTGAGGACAAGCATAGCGCTCGAACAGGAAAGATTGCTGGACACTAAACAGAAAGAGGTTGGCCAGCTAGAAACCAAAATGGAGAGTCTTGTCAGAGACGCGAAAGACACGAAGGGTGAGGTGGACAATTTAAAGGAACATGTCAAGACATTGCAGCATCAGTTGGAGGAGAAAGAGAAGATTATCAAAAATAACGATAACGGTAAGCCTACTCATCTCGCGTTTTCTCCTCATTATTAACGACAATTCCCACATTGATCAGCCGAAATTAACATGATGCTTCCATCGTCTCTTCTGCAGTGATCAGCTGGCTAAATCGGAGATTAGCGGACAACCAGTCGCCTCTACAGAGCGCTACCACTCCGGCGCCAATCACGATTCCCACTTCTGTCCCACTGACGTTACCCAGGACGAATAAGTTGTTCCCTAACCGATACGAGACACGTACACCGGCGCCCAGCACGACACAACCCAGTACGTTAACGGGATTACCGTTGAAAAATCCAATTGTGCAAAATCCGAACATTAACCAGACCACACGCACATCAGCTCGATCGATGGGTGTCGGCGTGACGGACAGCTCAGTGGGATTAAACACATTCAACAAAAGCGGCCAGATCTCGAGCACCAGCACGCCCATGGAGCGCTTCAATTCGCTAAACAAAATATCGGCCGGAAATCCGCCGGGCTCGTCGTCAGTGCCGGCTATAATCGAGAACAACAATCCGACGGTGTCCTCGAACGGTACAAAAGCGAAAAGTACAAACATCGGCTTGCAGGGTGGATTGAGAAGGGCAGGTTTGTCCGACAAACCGATCTTACCCTCGGCGTATTTCCCTAAAACCTTGCACTGACACCGATGCCTGAATGGGATTACCAATGTAGAGACTAATGAGTTGTGAACTCGTGTCGGAATACTTTAAGAATCAAAATGTAGAAACGACAGAAGCGCGATATTGTCATTAATGTGGGAATATTTCGCGTTTACCGTCTTGGAGATAGTACAAATAGCTATGAGAACGACAAGTATTATTATAAGACACTTTCTACGAAGTAAATTTCCAAACAATTCTTAGTCCCACATTGGCACCGGTTCTATGTTTGCGTTACGAAAATCATGTATATCAGTATTCAACGCATCCTGCTGCCGTCTTCTCTCAGGATCTGATTTTCTATGTAAAATATAAATCTGCAATATTGAAGCAATGGATGCGTGACGTCGTTTAATCTCGGTGTATCAATGTAGGATTAACAATAATCGGAAAAATAATAATAATATATAGTGTTGTATGTATATATAGCGCGGCACTAACATACACCGATCTCGTTTTCATGCGATATACACACGCAGAGCATCCCACGAGATGTGATACTACTAACTAAAAAATTACTTAAAAAGGTAAATTAAAAATTTAAACTGATTTTTTTTTTTTTCTATAAAACATCACGCGCGAAATTCTGTGTATGTGAATTCCATAATTCGTCATAATCATATTTTTACTCCAAATGAGTTCAACATTTCTGCTATAATTACAAACATAATGGAGCTTATCTTTAATGTATATCACTTTTTTATAAAAAACGTTCCGGTAAAATTGAGATTTATATTAGAGATATGTATTTATAAATCGAAATTTTTAATTTATAACATTTGTAATTTATTTAATTCATAACGTTCAGTTTATAATTAAAGTCTTGCTTTGCATAATTTTAAATGTAAATTTGTGTTTTTAAAACATTCATAATGACTGTTGTGCCAAATATTGTCGAAAAATGACTTTTGTAGCTGATAAATTTGGGACAAGTGGAATAATTGTTTCAAGATCAATATATAGCATAATTTTCCAATTCATCACGATTGCAATCTATCATTCGATCGATCAATTATTAATACTTAATTTTTATATTATATCTAGCACAATACTGCTTATTAGATTTTATAGTCACTTGTATGTATAAGGCTAATCACATTCTAATAGGTACCTGGAAAATAATATTAATTTTAAAGATTTTATAATAGATGTATAAATATTTTTATATATATAAATGAGAAAATTTTACAAAAGGAAATATATATGTGTAGAGCTCTCTTATTTTATGACCATACAGGGTCGAATAAGGCTATTAGACAATTAATATGAACAAAAAAATGTGCCTTATGTCGCGAGATAGACTAGGAATTTTCATCATAGTAATACATCTTACTGTACATTTTTATTCAAAATTATACTCAGGAGAAGAATATTATCTGTTAATCGTAATATCGTATAAAAGCAAAATCCTTACACGCGAAATGCTTTTTCAATTGCATACTGTAAGGAGTATATATATATGTATTTACATAAGTATATATAAAAGTAAATTTAACTCTACCTGAGCACACACATATACATGTTAATTCGTTAAATTATATAAAAACGCAACAATACATTAAATATGACGAATAATAATGATATGGTAAATAGATGATTTCATATATTTTACTACTTTTTGTACATAAAATTACAATAAACTTGCATAATATGCAAAGACGCAACATGTTCTCGCCTATATATAGAAAGCTGCCAGTCTCATAGAGTACAAATATTCGTTTATTTTTAGTTTGCTGAGTTTACACGTAAGCATTCTTTTCATGCAATTAGTATAAAAGAAGAGAAATAAATTATAAGTTAGATTGCACATGTGCGTGATTCGAATAATCATTAAAAAATATGATTAGATTTCACATTCCTATACACGATTTTACACAGTAACAAATAAAATGTTAATTTTTATGCCAAAGAAGGTCCATTCCAGATTTTGAGTAAAAGTAACTCATTCGTTCTGTATTACTTGTTGACAAACTAAAATTAAAGAACTAATTAGTTGACACACATTCCCTTTTTACATTCATGTTTGTTTTTATTTAAAAATATAATGTAAATATAACATAAAACATAATAAAATGTACACTAACTTAGTTTTAAAATAACTTATAAGAAATATTGATAGAACATTTTTGATTGTATATGTGAATACATGTCTTAACAAGATTATTTAGTTACCTAATGCACTAAAATATATAAAATGTTATTTTAATTATTCTTGAAGACAAAACGACAAACGTAAAAGTGAAAAAAGTATGTGTGAGTATCAATTAATTAATATTTGTAGTTTTATCAACAAATAACACACGAAAAATGAGCTACTTGTAATTCAGAGTGAACATAAAATTGACATTTTATTTTTCACTGTGTATACATAGCATAGCGGATGTAACATGTTATTAATGTTATTTATATCGGCATATATGCGATTTCGTAGGTGAAATATAGAGATAAATGGTTACCGCGCTTATTGAAATAAATTTTACAAAATACGGATTATGTAAACAATATTACTTAAATAAGTGTTAAAAAAAAACCAAAAAACATCGAATCGTCAGTAGTAATATTAACCAATAATTTTCACTAATTCGTATCGATCGGAGACGAGGACATACTATTGTTCGGTAGATCTGTACAGCCCATATCTAAAAGCGGCAAATCCATCCGTTTACGTCTGCGTTCGCACTTTGGACACGGTTTACTAGCGTTTAAACAGTCCGCGTGAAATACGGCGTTACACGCCCCACACTGTAAACAATCGAACGTTATACAATTAGCGCCTGCAGATAAGAAAGAAAGTCGGATGACGAAAGACCAACGGTGCCAATATCCGGATACTCTGATAGTAATACTCGGATGACACCCGGGACGCGATCCATTAGACGTTGCAAACTTTTTGAAATGCTTAAAGAAAAGCCACGATTGGTCTATGCGATATTTCAAAGTACTTGTAATGTCTCATAGATCGTATCATATTGTGAATCATTCAGATATTTAAATATCACGATTAAGATAGAAGTACTGAAGCCTAAATACTAACACTGGTACCTAACTCTGGATATTCTTATTGTTTTGGCTTTTAAATACGACTTAAATTTTCAACATGTAAAATATATGTATATATTCAATACATATACGAGTAATATATATACGTGTATGTACGTGTGTGTGTGTGTGTGTACTATAGTGAAAATTTAAATATTAGTATTTAAAGGCCAGAACAATAAGAATGTCTAAAGCTAGGTATCAGTGTTCAGGTGTTGGTATTTTTATTTTATCTTGGCGGAATAACAAACAAAATCGGCTGATGGAAAAATTGATAACAGACGGCAAGTGTGTATTACCGGTATATTACACGTGTTACCGGAAGTTTTTGGCTTCGAGTTATTTCAAGTAATACAGAGTTACTTTCGATTAGTACTTGAGTATCCGGTTGTCCCGGTTGGCATCCAAGTATTCGAGTATCCGGTCATTTCAGATAATACGCGGTTATCTCGGGTGATGCTCGAGTAACCGAGTAATACTCGCGAATTTCAGTGCCGAGTGGATAGCCGGATGTAGAATCCACGCGGTCTATACACAGAAAGCGTTAACTAAAGACGATAACGTAGCTGTTACTCACCCGGAATGTGGACTCCATATCAAACGGATAGATAACCTTTGGATTGTTACACACCTCGCATATAAAACCTTTCTGACTACAGAGCCAACAATTTATCACATGACCTCTCGCGAACTCGACGACCTTCTGGAGCTGCTGCGCGAGGATCCCGTTGGGTATGTCGAGAAGGTCTGAAACGGAATATTGATGAACGTGTTCGTACAGGTAATCCCTTGGAGCGACTTTCTTTTGCAGGGACTCGATGATGGGCTCGCGACACGTGAACAAGTACGCTCGCAGCAGATTCAGCTGTATTCGTAACGACTGCAATTGGGCCATGCTGTCTACGGCTTTGTAGATCCTCGGATTCACAATCTTCATGTCCAATAGAGTCGGCTTGTCTTGCAAGTAAGCAGCAGCTTTCTGGCAAATCGGGTAATGCTTCAGATCCCAGTTATGAATCATGCGTGACGGTACGAGATACTGTCCATCCGCCATGCACTTCGAGCAATAGTAATCACCAGAGTACGAGCACACGTGCGCTTTGGAGAAAGTCATGCCGATCGCCTCGCCGCATTCGAAGCAACTGTAGTTCTGCACGTCCAGACCCTTTTCCCGCGGTAAACTGCCCAACTGCTCGTCGAAATTTATCACAACCTGGAAATGAAAACAGAGGAAAGATGGATAATATATACAATAAATTTCTTGAAATGGAATCTCACTCAAAACAAGTAAAAAGTAACAGTATTCCGCTCGAAACGATAATGAAAATACTGTCACTCAAAATCGCAACAGTGAATGTTTCAGCCAAGTTTAAAGTTAATTCTGACGCCATATGAATGAATATCTTAGTCGGTTAGATTGAATACGTCCTGTGACGGTAGAATATACCAAATCTACTCTTTAATCTCACGTGGAAATATTTACTCATATATTTACTCATTGATTAGGAAAATCTATAGATAAGAATGTATAGATAAAAATTCACTTTATATATGAGCGAAAAACCACACAAATTCGAATGACTTGTTGATCATTCCATTTTCTGAGCAAAGCTTCACTCAAAGAAACTTAAAGAATATCCTCTAAATTTCTTCGAATGGAATCTCATTCAAAACGCGTAAAAAGTGGCAATATTTCCACTCGAAGTGATAGTAAAAATACCATCACAAGAATGAATGTTTCACTCAAGTTTAGAGTAGATTTTGACTCCATATGAACGAATGTTTTACTTAATGTCGAGTGAAGATATTCACTCAATAATATAAAGTGAAAAACTCACTCTGTATGAACGAAAAAATCACTCGAATTCGCGTTGTTTGTGTGACTCAACGGTTGCTCTACTTTGAAATTTCGCTCCAATAGATCTCGAGAATGCTTGAATCAAATCGCAATAACAGAGCTGTATTTGAAGACGCGCAAACGCCTCGCATCGTCAAGTACAAAACGAACCTTTGCCTCGGATGGAGCCTTCGACTCGGACTGAGCCTTCGACTCTTCGCCGACAGTCTCTCTCTTCGGATACTTCTTCAGGAATTCCTGTAGATTCGGCACTGTGCTGTTCCCGGCGGTGTGGTAGCTCTGAATGAGCGCGTCGTACGTGGAACCGTCGCCGGGCGAACAAGGCGCGTCTGTTCCCGACCCATGAGATATCACAGATGAAGTCAAAGAAGATTGGCACTCTTCGAACGAAGTGGACCATCCCAATCTTCCTATCAATGAATTGCCTACAGTAGTCCCGGCCACGTCGTTGACAACCTCGCTCTCGCTGAGAACGTCCCGCGCTAAAGGATCCTCTGCGTCGGCGGCAACACTCGCGTCTGCATTCTTCTCATCCACGCTGCCATTCGCCACCTGTTGGGCTTCACCCACCCGTCGTTTCTCTCCATGCTTCTCTGTCACGGCGTCCGCGGAATCGCCGCGTGGTTGTCGCCGGTTATCACTGTCCGCTTTCTCTTCTTGCTCCTCCACCGTCTTACTCGGCGCGACGTCCGCGGAATTGCGCCGCAGTTCTCGAAGAACATTGCTCGACTGTTCATTGTCCAAAATGATCTTCAAGGCCTGATCCTCCGTGATGGCGGCTACGTTATTGAACATAGACTGCGAGGACGCGAAGGAACCCAAGCTGCCGATGGAGCTCGCAGTCTCGATCTCGTCCAAGTTCTCATTGTCGGTGACCTCGGTGGTGATGGTCTTCGCGATGTCCACCGCGCTGAACACGGGACAGGACTTCATCGGCGGCGACCAAATGCCGGCGATGAGCAACGGCGTGGTGGACCAGAAATTCAAGAGACTACTGTTGCAGACCAATTCAAAGTGCACATAGTCCAAGCTCTCGATCAATCTCTGCGCCACTTCAACGTAGTCTGCGTCTCTGATGTAGGCTGAACGATTGTAGTACGGCTTCAGGGCCGAATTATCGCGTTTGATGGAGCAAAAGTAGCTAGCTAACAGGCCCTCGTTGAGGGCCATTCTTATCCAGGCACGACAGTAGCCAACTTCTGTAGTGAGTTGGCTCAGGCCTTGTATCTGATCTATGATCTGACGGTGTGAGAACACTAACAGTGGACCCCAGAAACTCGGTTGCGGCATGGCATCGAAGTCGGGCCCGCTCAATGCTTCTGTCACCCGATTCAACAGGCTGTCCTTCAGACCGTGCAGAAATATCGCCTCTAGCACGGAGCACAAGGTCATGGTCTCGTCGCAATTGCCCACAACACCGCCGTCGCTGTCGACCAGCCCGGGCGCGCTCTGCATCTCCATGACGCTGGTGTTGAGTTGCTTCTGCAGGGAATCCCTGACGAGGATGTTCCGCTTCTTGCTGAGCGCGATGGTGTTGACCGTCTTCAACAGCGAGTTCATGTTGCGCGCTAACGAGATACGTCACAGTGGGGACACGTCTTCTACCGCGGTTACGTCTCTGAAGCATCTTCGCAGCCACCCTGCCGATGGAGGAGACGATCACCCGGAGTCGATCGAGCCTCCTGCTGTCTCCGCTGTTACTCGCTGCGTCGATTACGTGTGCGTGTGTTTTTGATCCTGCGGAACACGCTCGCAACGGGCGACTGTCACGGCAATAGAAACACTGACAAAGAGGAGACCAGGAAATGTGTTCGCGGTAACGATGAGATCATCGTGGTCGACGATAGCGTGGTCGAACGCGTGCCAGACGAGAGTCGCGCGCGCACGCACACAAAGTCACGCACGCGCGCGCCCGCGCGCCCACGAACGCCAGCCTTATCGGCCAACGATGCGTCCGTGAAGTAGGTTAGGTCCGAGAGGACAAACAAAACATTCCGTGTACGGCGGCGCGGCTCCAAACACTCGCGTCCAGCTAGGAAAAACGCGAGAATCAGTGACGGTTCGCGCCGAGGTTTTACCTGTGCTCGCGACACGCGACGAAATTCTGCGTCATCATCGCGTTCCTCTCCTTTCCTCTCCACTCTTGGCTCTCTTACAAAAAGCTCCTCTACCACTCCCCGAAAACGTCAACTCCGACGTCGTCCACCGCTGTCAGCCAGCTGTTCGTCACTGTGTTACGCCAACTACACGCCAGGCGGCTTTTCTAGGTCGCCTATTCCTTGAGAATAGTACGCCGCCCGGCGACAGGTAGCGCTGCCTCGCCCTAGTTACCGCCGTGGTCACAGGCCGCGGCCACGACGACGACGACGGCGGCGGCGCCGGTAACGCTGGCGAATGCACCGAGTGCACAGCCAGGTGCACTCTCTTATCGCGGCGCACTTGTCTCGCGCCGTGCACTCGCTCGACGCTATTTCCAGCGGAACGCCGCGCCGTCCTCTACGACGCCGCTCCCGGCGCGTCCGGCGCGGCTCACTCGACTTTCGACGGGAATAATAGAATGGAACGTATCGAGCGACGGCGCTTGGCGACTAATTATAGGTGTGCTCGGCGATGTCGGCCCTGTGATTGGCTCGGCCGCATTTTCGAGTCCGGATCTGTCAAGAAAGCTCGTAAGAAATACAAAAGTAAGAAAAATCAATAGCAATCCTTATTTGTCCGAATGAAATTTTTATGTCCGCGCTTCTTCTGGCTTGACCTGAAGCTCGGAAACGAAGTGGATAGATGAAAGCGAGGAAAACAGATAAAGTAAAAATATCAAATGCCCGAGCATACAGGAAAAATATTATTCTACTGCGAAGAAAAGCAATTGCTCAGTTTAAGTTTCGGTTTAATCGCCATAATGCAAGGACACGTTTAAATGTCCTTGTTCAGACGTGATCTGTAATTTTTTTTTAATTACTTTGGATTATTTCCAAAGGCGACTAATGAATACCCAAGTAGAACAGAAGATCACGATGACGTCAAAATAACGTTAAAATGAGAAAATGATCGAATCGTTATTTTGACATAATTTTGACGTCATCGTGACTTTTTGTTCTGCTTGGGTTGTAACACACAGATGAATAGTTTCGAAAGGAATTTTTTACCTTCTCGCCATCAAAAAATAAGAATTGTTTATTTTACTTTTAAGATTATCTTCAACAAAGAATATTTTCTTGACCTTAAGATATAGTTTTCATAAATCTTAAAAAAGCTTATTATCGTATACTCGAAAGAATTAATTTTTCTACAAGAATATTATAAATCTTCGAGAAAAATATTACTTCGACACTATATGGCAGATAAGTCGAATTTTTGTTTTAATACTCTTGATCAAAATACTAAACTTATTAGGATTCAAAATGTATTTTAAATAAATTTGATACTTATGACGAACTTATGATGGATTTGCAAATATATAAGCTTATAAAATACTTGAAATAAATATAATAATAACGTGAAACAATTATTTGTATATAGTATATATTTTTTCGTGTGCACCCCCTGACTATAAACATTTTTATTGTTTTGGTCGTTAAGCACGAATATTTAAACTTTCAAAGCATATGTTGAAAGTTTAGATATTCATAGTTTACTTTTATGAACATATCATTTTATTTCAATGTATTTTACAAGAATTTCAAGTATTTTTGCGAGATTTTCAATCAAGAGTTCCGCGGTAAAAGAGTCAAAGTTTGCGGAAACGATAAGAATAATACGAGAAATTTTTATAAAAATTACTATAGGATTTTGTAACCGAGAAACTCTAAAACAAAAAATCATGATGACGTCAAAATGACTAAAAAAAATGACTCACTTTCCTATCACACGATTCAATCATTTTGTTGTCATTTGGACATTCTGATTTTCTGTTCTACGTGGAAATAGATCAATATTCTGCAGTAATTCACTTCTTTTTATTTTACATTTGTTATTTATATTTTAAGAACCAAAATGTGTTAATAAAAATTTTGCTATGTTTTTAGCGATATTTGCTATGCTTCTTAGTAAAATAAACTTTATTGATAGTCTATTTTTGAACTGCTAAAGCCATAGTAAAATTGAAAGAGTCTTAAAAACCAAAACTATTACCCAAAAAGTCTTGTGAATGACTAACAAATGCATTTGGTTGAACGATAACAGGCATTGGTACTTTTACTTAATTCTCGCGAAACACAAGTTACAATTTTGCGCGATTTTAGAAAATCGATAGGGACCCGTTCGTTCGAGCAAAACTTCCATCTCTACTCGTCGCTCGAACAGCTGATTACACGTGAAGCTTCGGGAAAAATAAAACGAGACAAGAAGTTTGCAAATAACTCGAGCAATCATAGAAATGTCCTTGGGCGATTTCCTGGTGTGCTGTTCTCGCGTTGCGTAAATCGAAGAGACTCAAAGAAGCGTTGGCGTGATTAAAAGCGATACCGATCGCCAGCTTGTTCCAATTCAACGAACTCGATTCGCAATTTCAACACGCAACGTGAATAACGCGATTTAAGATGGTGACGTGACGCACGATACATCTTCTTTATCAATCCTTTAATTAAAAGATCGCCTTAGGCGCGTCATTCATTTTAAGAACGACGTGAGTCAAAATTCGCAGAAACGATGAGAATAACACGAGAAATTTTTATAAAAATTATTATAAGATGTTGTAACCGAGAAGCTCAAAAACAAAAAATCACAATGACGTCAAAATGACTAAAGAAAATGATTCACTTCTTTATCGTACAATTTTCATTTTCTCGTCATTTGGACATTCATGATTTTCTGTTCTATTTGGAGATAGATCGATATTCTGCAGTAATTCATTATCTCTTCATTTTACATTTGTTACTTATTATATATTTTAGGAACTAAAATGTGCTATGAAAAAATTTGCTATATTTTTAGCGACTTTTGCTATATTTCTTAGTAAGATAAACTTTATTGACAGCCTATTCTCGAACTGTTAAAAAGCCATAGTAAAATTTAAAGAAATTTATATGAAAAATATAATATTCTCTTTCTACATGAACCTTATCTTAAACTTACTTTTATCGATAAAAGTACTTTTAAAAGTGACTTATAAACCTTATGATAGACCATTTTTAGAGACACTTTTATTGACAAAGGAGAGTTGAGAATAAAGATCTATTCCAGGCGGAATAAAAAATCATGATGACGCCAAAATGATGTCAAGAAGACAAGAAAATGGTTTACTCGTGACAGAGAATTCGCTTTTCGATCATTTTCTCGTCACTTTGATGTCATCGTGATTTTCTACTTAGGTATACATATTGGGATACGGGTGCACAAATTGACCGGATACTTTGTAAACTCGCGCGCGTTCTGCGGACGCGCGAGTGGATTTTCGAAATTTATCGCACGCCGGCTCTCGAAGCGAATCGCCGGCACGGCACGGCACCCTTCTCGTCCTTCTCCTATTCTCGCTCCTATATTTAGATACGCACTTAGTGCATCTCAAATGTTGGAACAGGTATACCGTGTGTGAATGACCGAGTACGCATGACGGAACGATGCGTGTTCCCTGGTTTGACGGCGGTAGAGCGCCGCGCGCGGTGCATGAGGGAGAAGAAGGAAAGAGAAAGTGCAATCGAGGCGAACGGGCGTGAAGGAGATGGCAGGTTGGACACGAGGACAACGAAGCGAATAGTGGAGACAGGGACGTATGAACGCTCTGGTATCTAAACTCAAAATAACGTTTCGCTGGTCCAGGTAGAATTCCAAGTTGAATTTTATATGTTCTTTGTATCTGCTAGAAAATTGTTTGTGGCACGTAGAATTTGCAGCAACAGCATTCTAGCAATATTTGCAGACAAATTTAGGTGCCGTTATCAATTGTTAATCTGACTTTAATCTGAATAAATGCCACATAGAAAGAAAGAGAGAGAGAGACTTTCTTGCTAAATTTTACAAATAGTCCAGATATAAATTCTGTCTATCATTTATATTGATTAAATACAAAGCATACACGATATCGCAATATTTATTAGTCATTTCTTCATCTTAGCTAATTTCTCAAATCTAAATAATTTTCGCTATGAGTGCAAAAACATTTTTTTAGTATATCATTGCTTTTTCTTCCTCCGGTTCTACACAGCGCGAGCAATACTCAGAGAAAAACATGGTAATAACAACTATAAAGTGATAACTATACGAGTTTTGTGGAATTATAATGTATATAGTTTAATAAACTATTTTGTAGTTATATTGTAACTGAAACTTCACTTGTCATAACTGTAAAATAATTCTAGTATATTAGTTTATTCAAATACATTAATTCTATATACACAAAAGAAATCATATAGGTGTCACTTTATAGTTACTATCATCATATCTTTTTCTCTGAACGAAGCGAAATGTCATGAAAGGTGACTTTCACCGAGTTACTCTGATTAAAGTAATCGACAAACAATCGGCGAAATCTCCAAGAAATTTTAGCTGTGTAACTTGTCGTCCGACGATGACTGAAAAGTTAATCATCATTTTCATCCGCATTAGTAAACTGGAGCAGGCAACACTTGACCGACAGTAATTTTAAATTATCAATTAGATTAATCAGGGTTTGGTGAAAGTCACCCTAATAAGACAGAGGTGGCAGCAAGTGCGAAAGCGCTCTGATTTTCTCGAATCGATGGCTTAAGCGAAAAATTTATCCACCAATCGGCAGGATGGTCTTAACACGTGATGTAATTAGGTTAATAGAATTTGTTAATCGTGTGCATTATTGACTAGCTTAAACTTCACATCTTAATTCTTAATTCAAATGCATTTCACTTGAAGGAAGTTTCAAGTAACGGTCATTAACCCTAGAATCTTTGATAGATAGAAAAACAGAAAGATAAAAGCCAATCAAAGCTGTTGAAAAAGTAAAAACAGTCGACTACTGCTTGACCACTAACGCAAGTTCTGATTGGCTTCTGCCTTCTTGCTTTCTGCTAAAGTGTGAATTCTCCCTAAGTTTTCTTATAAGATTATCGGTTATGTTTCAAACATTGACAAAAAGTGTTTGAAACTTTAAACTCAAAATATGTGTACGTATAATGTTTACAAATTTTTGTCAAGCCACGCGTGATGCAATATGTGTGTATATATATATATATATATATATGCGTACATCCGTTTACACATATAAGGTGTGTCGCGGGGTTTACACGGTGCTCTTTGCACAAGGTTTGCAAGTGGAACGGCCATGCCGTTTGTGACCCGCGAAATTGATCACTCGCTGTTCACTCACCTGCGCGGAAGATACGCGAAGCTCTCGAGCTTGAGAAGTTCTTATAAATAGACACCACGCGTGTTCCTAATTTCGAATTTCGTAACGGTTCGGTTTCGCGGCATTTACCCCGGTCGAATGCGTACAACAAAGCACACATGTTTATTATAAAGATACTTGAGGCTTTCTAACGGTCAGCGAATTTACTTTCGCAACGACGATCAGTCCATTGTTCGCCTGTCTTTCCATCGACAAGGGATTAGCTCTCCGACAGCCGTGTGTGTGCGGTTTATTCTGCGTTTAGCCGAACGACTTCGTACCTCCTCGGCAACGCGAGTCGATGCGTGTGTACATGAACCTTTGCATTTCCTTTGTGCACACCGTGCGCTAGAGACAATGCGCTTTCTCACGGTGCGCCGTTGCGCAGGATTCTTAGCGGCGCGCGCGTTTAGCGCGTTCACCGCGCTATATACAACAACTCTAGAAAGCACAAGTGGCGTGAACGCGAAACACGCTGTTCCACCGCGTGTTTCGTGCACAGGCAGACACTCGCGCGTCGTGCCGTTTAACAAGGCGGCGTGGAGACATTCGCCCTCGTATCCGCTCGCGCTGCATTTTTCCTCTTCTTTTTTCCTTTAATGCACTCAGGCCTCGGCGTGCCAAATATCGCGGACGCTTTGCATATCGTGCGAAGGAGTCAGCCGAACAGCGCGGCGTCACGTCGCGGCCGTTTTCTTGTGTAATATTACATTCCATGCGCCGGTATTTTTAACCGTCCCTTCACGAGCGTTTCCCGGCGAGCAAAAAGTCATTCACAAAATTCCCAGAGCCGCTGATCATTATCCGCCTCTCTATAATTAGTTATTAATTATTTATATAATTTTATCCATTATACAAAATTCCCAGAGCTGTCGATCATTATCCGCCTATAATTAGTTACTCATTATTTATATACTTTTATCCATTATACTATTAACTAGAAAACATTCTAATAAAAATTAAATTAAAATTTCATATTTTTCTTTTTACAATGTTCCTTGTAAAACTGAATTATGATGAAATTGTGTATATAAAAATATAATATTACTCTATTATATATTATATATATATTTTATTGCTATTATATATATAAAACTATATAAATTATTATAAAAATACACATATCTGATATACATTCAATTACAATAATTTTGTAGTAAAAATTCAAATATTCAAGACATTTTTAAACAAACTTACAGCAATTTCGGTTATATTTCTAAATATTCCAAAATTGCAAAAATTTTGTTAAAATTTTTACTACAATTTTTTCTTTATGTGGTTATTAATCCTTGATCTAGTTTCATGGCTACAATTAATATCATTTATATAATATTTTTATAATTTTTTATATTTAGTTTCTAAATATGCGCTTCTTTACGTTGCATCATTGTCGTCGCGAGTAACTTGGATACTTTAGTATTTTCAAAACATATTTACGACAACATTAAAAATTACGATAACGAAGATAATGTTCGAAAGATACACGCAAAGTCAATACTTGAAGATACTGACCTAATATTTCTTGTTTACCGGCTTATCATCTCGTTGCATTCGTATTTATTTAACACAATATATTCTGTATTCAATAAAGGATCCATGAGAACGCGAGGAGGGAGCTCAGCGGTTCCGCCTTCAATACCTTGTCGGACAGGATATCCATAAATTGCCAAAGTGCGGCTTTTCGCACAGCGCGCTTTGTGGAAGTGGCTTTGTAGAGAAAGAAACAGTCAAGAGATATACTTCTGATTGTGGAGGTCCTAGCCGTTCCCCACGATCATACGTACCTGGAGCCGCGCCTGGTGGGGGCAGAAGGAGCGGAGAGCGAGGGTGTCGGTCGTTCGGTCGGCGCACAGCGAACAGTGGTGAGCGGACTCGTATACCGGCTACGGGTCGTCGTGTGATGGACGAGCTCGCGAGCAGCGTGCAATAACCGTCGTCGGGTCGAGAGGAAGAGGCCGCGTGTCGCGCGGGGCCAATCGAGTCGCGGAAGAACCCTGGAATAAGCATAATCCGTCGAGGGAAGTAACGTTCCGTGGGCGCGTCGCCAAGAAAAGAGCTACGCGCAGTACCGACGTGCGTCAAGATGTGAGAGAACTCCGGAATCGTGAGGGACGAGCAAGTCAGCCTGTGCAAAAGGACGACCGTATCGTCGGCGTCGTCAGCTCGACGGGAAACCCGCGACCGCGGTGGTTCGGAGTGATCCTCTTCGAGGTTCACCCGAAAGCACTAGTAAGGGTGGGCACGAGCAGCTATCGAGCGGCCTCCCCTCGCGGGGATGCACGTGTATGCATCTCGCCGGAGGTAGGTAGGACGTCTCCCCGTGCCACGCTGCGAAAACAGAACGTCAGTTTCAGCGATGGATCATCCGTGGGGTAAGAGAGAGTAAGGTGCGTGGTCCAGGTGTCGACCAGTGACACAGGTAATCACGGCTCTCGTGTCACCTGATCCAGCGGCGTACATATGTTGTTGTTGTCCCACGCGACACATGTCGCTTCACCGTGTCGCTCATCATCGCGCGGCAATTGCTGGTGAACGCCGTGAGAATCTCAGGATCCTCAACCCTCCTCCTCTGCGTTAGACAATAAAGGATCGTCGATGTCACCGCCACTTAATACGCGAAACGCCGAGAGCACGAGCATGCGACTCGACACCGCTGTCGGATGTAGATTTCTTCCGGAGGCAGGAAAACATATCGTCAAGAGACGGACGCAACGACCAGCGCATCGTCGCGAGTGAACGGCGCTTGTCGCTTCAATTATTCGATTTCAGTTGGATATACGACGACAAACGCTTATTAATTCACGTTGTCTCGTGACGTCAACGATCACTGAAGGAAGAAAAGCTCGCGATTATTCTAGTCGCATCATCTTCACCTTGACGAGACCTTGACAGGACTTGGGCAGGACAACATCAAGCACGTTTTCGGAACTTACGAGAGTCTCTTTCTCTGTAAGGAACGTCGAGTCTATATCACACTTATCGACATTTGACGGCTCACCATTCCGGATATGCCATCGAGTGCGTACCCGGGACACGATACGTCGAGACATCAGCAGCTATCGCGGAACTGCCGCATCGCCGTGATTATCGACGCTTCCTCGTCGACATTGATTGCACCGTAAAGAACTCAAGCACCAGAATGCTGCCACCAAGCGCGATCGACGTGCAGGGTTTCTCGCCCCGCGACGTGAGCACCCGTGGCCTGCTGTCGGAGACGATGTGCGCCGAGTTGCGACCCGACGTGACAGCTACCTCGACAACGTGTCACATCCTCGAGGCGCGTGCAGTCGCGAGATGCCATGAAGAATTCGACGAGACTATCCGCACCGCCTCGGAGCCGGAATGTTCCAAGCGGAGGATCGAATCGACGGCCGGCGGGAGCACCAGGTCCATGGACGGCCGGTCGCGGCAAGGCTTCTCCAAGGGTTCCGCCTCTCTGCAGAGCTTAGTGCGCCGGAGGAGCCGGAGACACGGCGGTGGCGGCTCGTCCTTGCCTCTAGAGGCCGAGCTGTCCTCGAGACAGGCCGTTTACCCCGCGGACCTTGCCAAGGACAACGCGAACACGGCGATGGTATTCCGCAACGGGGAAGAGGAGACGCGAACCGCGACGCCGACGTCGACGCTCATCTACGCGACCTCCTCAGTACAGCCACTGGGGTCGACGTCGCGGGCCGATAATAACGTCAAAGACGTCTCCTCGTCGACCAGCAACGTTCTTCCCAGCGGCAGCAACGCTACCTCCACGACGATCAGCGGCAGCGGCGGCCGTTTCGGTAACACTGCGGCGGTTTCGTTGCCGAGGAGCGCGACCAGCGTCGCGACGCCGGGACCGTCGACCTCCTCGTGGAACAACAGCGTCGCCGAGCAGGAGAGCGACTACGTGGTCGACCCGGTGCAGGGCAACGCTTATCACAAGGGTCACTTCCTCGGCAAGGTGAGTGCGTTATTTCATCTGGCGCTTTCGCGCTCGTCGCCCGCGTCGTCCGCGAGGAATGCGACTCGCGTCGTCGTGGGAATCCGCGACTCGGTCGTTACGATTCGTTCGACCAAGCCGTCGACCTTCCCCGCCTTCGGTATACCGTTCCGTTGCTTACACACACACACACACACACACAGGCACGCGCGCACGTTAGCAACAACGCGCGGCGTTTACGACGCTCTTTAAAACCTGTCGCCCAACCTGTAAATCGGCCAGCGTAATTGACCGCGCCGTAATCCTCATTGTTTCACCGGCGAGCACGCTGTCACGGCTGATCGCCACGTCCATTGGAAGAGAAAGAAAGAGAGAGAGAAAGGGTATGATGGAGAGCGTGCGAAGAAAGGAGAAGTCGATCGCCGCATCGCGAATCGAACATCGTGGCTATGATGTTATCTCGTCGACGTGATTCTCCGGCGGCATTCATCGCGACCATTTTCACCGATAATTCATCGCCGCGGATTATATTCCAATTTTCTACCGTGAGATCATCGCACATTACACGGCCCCCGTAAACGACGACGATAGAAATCGCCGTTATGCAAATCCACGGCGATTGAAACGCAAGCGTTTCTCTCTCCACGAACGAGCGCGTAGGGGAGACCGCGGCAGGTTCGTGCAGGCTTTGCGGAATTTTTGTGCTGGAAGTATAACAACTAGTACGACAACTAGCTCTTGATTGTGAAGGATCTTAGTGCATAATGGCGAGCGTAAGGTTTAGGAGAGTAAGTTTTGAACATATTAAAGGTAAATAAATCAACTTTGCGCTGCGTCAAAATATCCTCTAAAATGTTCACTGTTGGAAAAACATAGGTTTTAGTGAGAAAGAATAGTTAAAGAGGACGAAATTATTGTTTCTCTGAGATAATTTAATCTCATTATGTTTTCTACGCGGATACACTAAAATGGAGTACCTCACTAAACTTATTTATTTCCCAACTAATAATTTTCGAAAGTTTCTAAAACTGACTTATTAAAAGGCATATAATATATAGAAATATGTTATTGCACGTTTAATTAATTATAATTCTTTATTAACAACACTTATGAAACAACAAAGCTATATACCCTTTGCCTATTAAAATATTAATGACAATTAATATTTGGTATGATGACTTTTTGGTATCAATTTTCTGAAACATATGAAAAGAAATAATGCGATTTAATATTTTGAGAAGCATAATGGCATAATTCTGTTATACTGCAAAATATGTAAGTTCGGATTATATAATATAAAACGTCATTATCAATCGATCTTTGGAACCTACACTGAGAGAAGAATTTAGTAAATATTATCAAAATTTGGTTACTATTACTAAATGGTAGACGTAAATATAGCGGGCCAAAGCTATGGCAATACTTATTAATTAATTTAGTTCTGTAAAATAAATTATTTATTTGACAGAAGTAAAATTTATTTGCTTCCAGAATATATTTGGTAAATAAAACTTATTGAATAGTTGAGCAAAATAAGCGATTTTGTAGTAGTTACAAAATTTTTGGTAGGTTCAACCAACCATCTGTAATAATAGATATTGAAACAATGTAATAGCTGCAAATGAATGAATTTTTCGTTGTGCTGCAACAAAACATACTTATACTTTTAACAAAATAGAACTCGTACCTATTGAATTTTTTATTACATGGGACATAACAATTTCATAACAATTATCAAATATCTGCTTATAATTGTAATATATTTCATATTAAATATTTAACATTAAGTAACTATTACTAAATTATTTAATTGATGTTACTGTGAATGCAATTACGTCATACTCCCGATCTATTAAATATTTGGTAATTATTATCATATTTAGTATTAGTTACTAAGGATTCAATGAAATGCTGTAACTAAATGCAGTTTGTTATAGTTACCAGTCTTTTCTCTCAGTGTAATCAAAATAACGATAAAAACGTTCAATAACGTCAGTAATTGGATAGTTAAATATTGGTTTGCCAACTCCATTCGTCCATGCTCGATTTCGATAATTTTATCAGTACAAATTGCTCTTTTATTACGTCAAATAATGTGTCATACACACAGAGAGAACGATTTGGTTGAATCCAATAAACGCTTCTTTGGAATAGTCCAAACGAATATTTCGATTGATCAAACAAAATGTTGTTTGAAGCAACAAAAATATTTATTTGCGGCTTAGTACCAAAGAAATATTTTTGTTTTGTCAACCAAATAATTCGTTTGGACTATTCCAAAGAAACATTTATTTGAATCAATAAATCATTCTCTCTGTGCAGCTGTGGCAATTTGAATTCCAACTAATAACATATCGCTTAAATTTATTCAATGTATTGACAGTTGCTCTTTTAATTATACAATATTCTCTCCCGATTTTAATGAAAATCAGCGAGAAGTATTCGTGTTTCAAAGAAAGTACTTTGTGATTCCTTTTCGTCCGTTTCTCTGATAAAAGATACATAAATGTGCGATCAAGCTGCCCCTTATGCCAACCTGCCTCGTTCTCTCCTATACGGGAATTTACTCGGGCGACTTAATTTTTGCCAAGTTCAGTTTCGGGTGAACGTTCTTCCTGGAGTAAATAAAGCGCCGAGCGGCTCGCGATGAGAGTCACGATAGCGGGAGCGAATCGCGCGAAGCAACGAGCGAATTCGCTCGTGTTTTGGCCACGGGGATTAAGTCTTTTCATTAAAGATCGCGGATGCTCCGTTCCAAGCGGGAAGCGGGAGCGTGGGTGGTGAGTCACACGACGCTCATTTTCGCATACCAGGAATACTGACGTGGAGGAGTTCCCGATGGCAGCGTTTTTCCACGAAAAATGATTATGTTTGGAGGGACCAAACGTGGGGCGACCGCCGGGACATATCCGGGACGTCCGGATTAAATATGTGCTCTCAACGATAAATAAGACGCAAAGCCTGACATCGTCCCTCAGCTCGCACAAAATTATCCTACGCAAACGATCCCGGACCACCATCGACGCGGCCTGTGTTTATCGAAGACTGCGATAAAACGACGCTTACTCATTCCTAGATTTGTACATCACAGCTAATATGTGAAATTACTCTCTTCAATTACTTAAGATATTTTGGGATGAAATTTCATTCAGAAAATGGAGGGACAACCAGATCACTCGAATCGAACCGACTTCTTGCTTCTAAAGTGAATTTCTTCCCTTTATATTGTGGAATGAATTCTTCGCTCTGCATTATGACTCCGACTCTTATTCTTTACGTTTCTCTGCTTTAAAGTTCATAGTTTAAATCAGAAAAAAATAAAAAGAAAGAAAACAAAAAGCATATTGCAGATTAGGCTTAACAGCACATGTTACATGCAAAGAGATAACCTCAAGAAGAGTTGTAATCGTCATATCACCGTTGTCTCACTTTTTTCAGTTTAATTTCTTAAAAATTTTAGAAAAGATATATTTAAGTACAAATATTTTTAAAAAGTTATTTTATCTCTCTTTCTCTCTCTTAAATATTATTAATAACATTGATAAAAAGTTTTAATTTACGCATGATAATATTGTTTCCATTATAAAATATGAATGAAGTCTTGTAGAGTTCGGAAATATATGTAGATGATAAGAGGCATATTTATCAATCAAAGTGAGATGACGTAATTGCTGACTAAAAATCGAAAGTCTTTAGTCTGATTAGATGCTAAGCATATTTTAATCTATGCATTTTACTATTGCCATTTTCATGTTAGAACAACCAAAAAATATGGTTGAAGAATAACTATAATTTTAGTCATTTTAACCACGTTTCTTCTCAAATGAGAGTCTTCTTCAGGAAAGTGGAATCTCGAGAAGGAGAAAAAATTACTAAAAAAATAAAAAAGGAGGAAGATCGTTTCCGGTATAACACACGTGTGTAGCGGCGTGTACGGGAGTCGTATGCAGAACAAAACCGCGGCTTGAATTCGTAGACACAGCGCGTAGCACACTTTGAACTCGTACGTGGGTGACGTAACACAACGGCATTTAAATTTTATCAGTTTCCATGTTTGATCTCTCCGCCGCGACAGCACCTATTTCTCCTCTTGCCGAATCCAGCGAACCGCGTCTAGCCGAGTCATTGACTCCCCGCGTCATACATAATACATCGACAGTGAACCGAGGTCAACGACTCATCGCCAAGGTCGAGACCGCGGGGGCACCTTGTTTTGCATCGCGACGATAATGAACGGATTAATGGCCGAAGCTTGTCACCCTCTTAACTGAACCAAAAGCGTCCACGTCCTCGTTATCATGATGTAAGAATACAAGGTGTACCATAATGGCGACCGAAGGCATAACAGCCAATGAAATTTTGCCCCCAAAAGACACACTTCTAGCATATGGAAACAACCTAACCATAGTTACATCAAACCTAACCTGGGCAATTGGGGGCAATCTCTGATTGATCAACCACTGCACATCTTCGAGAATGGTATTCACTTTGTATTCTTACATCATGCTCGTTATTACGTCCGCGAATCCTGTCGGCGGAATCGATTGGCTACTCGCGAGCGGTTTCGCGCTAGGGATGTGCGATTTATAAAATTGTGTATCGCGTTGAGACCTGTTTTAAGAATCGCAACAAATGCGATAAGCGCATCATAAGTTTGTATCGCAAATATTCCAGATAGCGCAGAGAGTTCAAAAAGAATTCAGTCGTATGTCACCAATTCTGAGTTCATTTTTAGATACAAAAAAGAACTCTTTTCACTGAACTTAACTTCGAAGGATTCTTTTTGCATCTGCAAAATGAGCTCAGAATTGGTGACATACGACTGAGTTCTTTTTAAATTATCTGTGCTACCTGAGATGATTTTAAATCGCGCGCGATTTTATATCGCTAACGTGATTTTTAATCATAAAGGAATCTGGGGCATAATATGGCAACCGTGATGTTTAAATAAATGTTAAACATATTAAAAATAAATAAATCAACTCTGCCTTCGTACTACATCCAAATATTGTTTGAAACAT